CCCTTCCACCCCCCACCCCCCCAATCAAATCCCGACATCTCCCATTGATACTAGAGGAAGGAAAACGTCGGTTTTTGTAAAATTAAAAGTGACAAAAATATACCAAACCTCAGCAACGTGGGTGGTTTGCGGGTACTCTGGTGTGGCTTGCTGCTTCTTTCCTATCAAACATCTATCGTCCTCTTCCCTCCGCCTTCTTTTTTGTGTTGTTATGTTACTCTCTGTTAACACCTCTAATCTTCGACACTTATCTGACTTTACTGTGTTTGCTAGTGCCGCAAAATCCTTTCTAAAAGTACATGCACTTTAAACTAAACCCCAGCAAATGCATCTATGTATTATCAGACTTATGTTTATTGCTCGGATTATTAATTTCTATTAAGTCGGGCGTATGCAAATAGGTTAATCAGGAGCGGAGTTATGAAGAGGTTATATAATATCTATGATCAGACTCATGTTTATTGCTAGGACCATTCATTTCTACCAAGTTGGTTCTATACGATTTTATGCAATTATGCTAAACATGAGAGGAGTTTTGAGGAAGTTCGAGATGCTGCAGACTCGGATGACAGAATTTTGGCAGCGCAAAAAGAGGAATAGCCTCCCATAATGACACAGTGTAGTCTGCTTAAAGTAAACTCGCTTTATTTGAGCAATCGGTTAAAGTGAACGATATTCTGTAGTCCCGAATGAAACGCTATCTGATATGTGTGTAAGTAAAAAAATAAAAAAATAGTGGATAAAATGAACCGGTTTCATGGGGAAATTGGATAGATAAAGTGAACACCCAAATCGAGTGAAAGCGAAAAACGGACCGACCGTGTCACTGTCGCCAAGCTGTGAAAATAAAATTCTTTGCCTCGGGTATCGGCAGACAATCCCAGCTCGGGGTTGGCGACGGCAATCTCAATCAGAAAGAAAGAGCTCTAGTCTAGGCTCTCCCGCTGTGTTGTTCCCCCTTCCCCCTAACCTCCACCCTAGACCCACCACTGCCCGTAGCTAGGTACTGTTTGTAGGCCTCCACCCTACCAAAATGGTTCAACTGAACCTCGGATAAAGCGAACACTTTCTTCTGGCCCCAAAGAGTTCACTTTAAGCGGACTCCACTGTATTATACTAAGAGAGAAAAGAAATTGCTGACCGGGTACATTCCATTACGACCACTGCAAGCATCAGCTGACACCAAGTTGCAACCAAGAACATTCCTTGATGGAAGATCCAGTCTTTGGCTTGCCCGAAAACCTGCTCCCACAAAAACATTGATAGAAATGGAAATTACTGACGTGTCTTTTTAGCTTTAGTTTCAGGGGAGGTTTTACGGCGCTCGCAACTGCATATTAATAAGGTCATATGGGCGCCAATGATGCGTCTTTGAAAACCTATTCTAATTGGAAAAAAAAAACGTGTTTACGAGCATCATGCATGAATAATATCATTCTTTTTCATTCCAGATACTTTTAGAAATTTTGTACTTTTAGCTTTTCTTGTGCCTGTGTATTGTCTACTTTAATTGCTTTTTATACAGCACTCGGGGGGTAGAAAACAGAGTATGCAGAGAGAGAGAGAGAGAGAGAGAGAGAGAGAGAGAGAGAGAGAGAGAGAGAGAGAGAGAGAGAGAGAGAGAGAGAGAGAGA